CTCCCACAGGACTTCCAAGGTGAAGTTTCAGCTTTCTGGAGCTTGGTGCAAGTTTCTGAGGACAATTGAAAATAGAGGAAAATCGAGGCATCGCATTGGATTTCTGAACGAAGCGACCTTGCATGCATTCTTCTCCCTCTAAGAACCTCCTGATTTACAGCTTTCCTTAGCTGCTATGCTTAGATAGCTAGTTTACGCTTTGTTTTGTACCTTAATAGTTAATATGTTTAGCTATTTAAACTTGTTTTGTAGTAATTTGTTAACTAGAATTGGTTAATTAATTTGTTGTGTAATAATTAGTTTAATTAGCTTAAATTAGCTAGTTAACTTCTTATTCGGTCTCTCGAGAGAGAGGGCGTAATGTTGTAATAAGCGTGCGTGTGTGTGATGCGTGTGTGTGATGCATGTCTTCCAAGCCCCATTCCTTTCTCCTTTTACTTAACCGCTTACGATGGTTAGTTTTAGGGCATGTTTCATCTAGCATACCTTATGCTTGCATCATTGCATACATTCATCTGTCTTGCATGCACCGGGCTCGGCACATCATGCTAACTGTATTGTATTTAAATACATTTACTTGAATACGTATTCAACAGCATGTTATCAAGTTGGATTTCACATGACACTCTTAGGATAGTCGAGCCTATCTTAGCTAGATGTTGCCTGTGTTGCATTAGACATCTTAACATTAACTAGGATCATGCATGATTTCTAACTAGTTCTTTATTTTGGGTTGGAGTACACTGTGAGTGTTTACACTTTAGCATACTGCATGTGTGTTATTGACTGCCATGAAAGCATGCTTGCCATGAGGCTAATTGCTTATTTGCTATAACTGCCTGAATGCCTGTGGGTGAAGGTTGGATTACTTGAATTGGAATAATTTATTGAAATCCTCGATTTAGCCTACTTATGTGTAATAAACTTCAAACTGTTTTCAGCAAAATGGATATGCAATGTTTTGTTCCAAATTAGGCGATCTAGTCTATACTTGTATGCTGTGCGCATCACATAGTAATTCTAGCTAATTAACCGGAATAAGAACACATGTGTTTTCAAAAACAAAATATCATGTTTAGTACAGGTCAATCATTGATCGGGCGAGCGGGGGTGCTCATTATATGATCTTCCCCTCTCGTACCCAAGTTCCTGAGCTGAGGCAACTTTGGTGATGACGGACACGTGGCCTTAGGCACGAGTCAGGGTTTCCTAAATTCCCCCAAAATAAAATATTTAGGTGGCGACTCTATATCTGGCAAAGCAGTCCATGTTTGGCACTTCTTTATAAAAATCACTTTTCCAAAGCGATTTGCCAGATTTGGACTCTTTGATGATTTATCGGTCTTACATCGCACATTGTAAGATTAGATTTAGAACCGTGACATTTGAGTCCGAACTGTAGTAGTTCGGAACAAAATGAGATCCCCGCCTTGCCCTCGCAGATGCAGTGCGCGGATGTCAGGGAGTTCCCGGGAGCGCATCTACAGATTGTTAGGGAGACAACCGAGAAGGTTGCCTTCATTCCCAAGAGATTAGCTATGGCTTAAAGACGACAGAAAAGTTATGCCGATAGGAGGAGACGACCTTTATCCTTCAGAGTGGGTGATCATGTGTTTCTTAAGATCTCACCTAGATGGGGACTAATGAGGTTTGGCAAGTGTGGAAAGTTGTCACCGAGGTTTATTGGGCCTTTCGAGATATTGGAGAGGATCGGGGAAGTAGCAGACTGGTTAGCTTTACCACCATAAATTTTGGGAGTACACCATGTGTTCCACGTGTCAATGCTTAGGAAATATGAGCCTGACCGTTCTCACGCGCTAGATTGGGTTGATTTGGAGGTAGATGAGGATGCCTCCTATGAAGAGCGGCCAATTCAAATCCTAGATACCCGAGAGCAAGTGTCATGGGGTAAGACCATACCATTAGTGAAGGTGTTGTGGAGACACCATGGGATTGAGGAAGCAACTTGGAAATGGGAGGAAGAGGTCCGCTCCAAGTATCTGGAGTTATTTGAGCATGTGTAGTAGTTTTGTTTTAATTGTAAAGTTTCCCTAATATTGAAGAAGAGAATGTTGAATTGTTGATCACATGTTGTTGTATGTGTGTTGTTAAATTAAGCATGAGCTTATGGAAGAATGATATTTTGGTGTTGATGTTTTATCTCATATATCACATTTGAGCAATTGTTATTTTGATGGAGTGACCGTGAAGAGAAAGATAAACGTTGCAAATTGATAATGTTGTTAAAAATGATTATAGTTGTTAGAGCACTCTTGTTTGGTGAGTTTATTTATTTTTTAGGGAGTTTGTTCAAATTTCGGGGACGAAATTTCCTATGGTGGGGAGGTTGTGATGACCGAGTATGTCTCTAGTTACGTTCTTTCTCTCATTTAATCTTTAACCCATTTTGATGGAGTGTCAGATTATGTTGGAGCCTCGTTGAGTGTTTGGGGTTTGTATTGTTCGAAGGGTTCTTCTCAATGTAATCCCTTTTGTTGTTTTGATTCGGTGTTGAAGTCCCGTTATTCCAGAGGGTGCGGGGTTTGGTCCTGAGCTCCCGAGGATTGAGTCAGAAAATTCTGGGTTGCTGGGCGAGGGCCGCACGTGCGGGGAGTGGGGCCGCACGTGCGGTGAAAGTTAGGCTTCAGAAGGTTGCACACTGCCTAAAAGGTACGAGCGGAGTGAGGTGTGAGAAGGGAGCACCACCCGTGTGGGGGTGATGACCGCACGTACGGGAGAGGCGCTCCACACGTGCGGGGAGGGGCGCCACAGGTGCGGCCAACTGGGCAGTCCAAACTCTGTTTTTTCCTCTCTTTTTGGTCCAAATGTATACCTCATTTTGCACATTCCCCTCTTACTCTAAACCTTATTTTTCTCCCCCTTCTCTCTAGAAAACTTCCTCAAACATTAAAAATCTTTGATCCTTGTAATTTTGGGTGAAGATCACCAACATCTTCCCCTAAATCTTGAAGATCAAGCTAGGGCTCGTCTTTGTGTAGTGAGGGTTGAACAATCCTCAATTGAAGATAGGGTTTCATTTTGTCCATCATCAAGACCTTGAGGTAGGGATTTCTTAAGTCATATATATATGTTTTGCTTCATAAATGTTGATTTTAAAGCTTTCATAAGGTTGTTGTGTTGATTTTAATTTTGTACTAAATGAAGAGAGAGAGTGAAAGGGAGTTTTGAAAGAGGGGTCGAAATCACAACTTTCTTTTTATCCACGAGGATGCTTTTTCTATAAAAACTCAAGATGGATGATTTTGGTAGGATTCATTAAGAAAATGGGAAAAAGTTTTGTCTTGGATGAAGAACTCTAGAATTTAGGGGTTTTGGGGAAAACATGAAATTGCACATGAACTTGTTTTATTCTTGCATCAAGAGAATGAATAAGAGTAAATTTTATCAAATGTTTAGCAAAATTGCATCCCACTACTATGAGAAATAAGATGTCATTTTAGCATTTTTGCAAAATGTGTGAATATGGATTGTTATAATATGGAAAAATTGTTGTGCACTATGGATTGTGAGAAATATGAATATTGGAGATTAATGTTTGAAAAACATTACATGTGGCCATGAAAGGATTAAATAGATGAGAAACTGATGTTGTGTGTTGAAGACACATGCTTATTTTGTGAAATAACGTTGAAAGGAGGAAATGAGAAATGTATATATTTGTTATTGTTGTTGAGTCATTTGGAAACGGAGAAAGGCCATGAGGCATGGGAATTCATTACCTTGCATACTCATTCAATTAACTATTGTGCATTGTGAAATTTGAATGGAAACATTTACTTCAAGAATGAACATATTTATCAAAATGAGAACTATGGTAATGTGAATGGGGCAAATACGTGGTAAGTCTGGATATGGGGTGTAGTTGAATTTGATAAGTTGGCCTGAGTATCCATGGTGAAAGACTAGAAACCCGCGCGGATAGGTGTCGAGCCTTCCGGTTAATACCGGTAAAAATGACAATTGGGTAGTACTTGTAGAGTCTACTTGCAGACACCAACCTAGGGAATACCAGTGTCATATTTACCGCCCCTATTGATTGAAATTTGAAGTTTTGAAATATGTCGCGATTGTAAGCTTGTGTTGAAAAAAAAATATGGAAATCTTCAAGAAGTGCATGAAATGAATTTTCTTTAAAAGGGCATGGCATGGCATGAGCATTTGAATTTTTATTGAGGGTTGCATAACTGTATATACTTTGTGAGAATTCTCTACTGGGTTTTATGCTCACCCCTATGGGATTTGGTGCAGGTAAAGATGTGGTGATCTCGTCGAATTGAGGGCGTGGATATTTCGTGAAGAGTAAATAGCTCTCTTATTTTTGTTGGGAATTTTTGTAAGCCAGGGGCTAAATTTGTATGGGTCCGGGAGATCGTTTTGTGTAACCGGGCTATTGCCTTGGAAGATGTAAGCCCTTAAGGGCATTTTATTGTTTTGAGACTAGATGCTTCACATGCTATAGATTCATGTGTTCTTTTGTTTCGCTGAATGTATACCGCATGTGGAACTTTTGTATTAAACTCAATTATTAAATATGTGAAGATGGAAGGATTATTGTTATTGTTTAGTTAATGTTCATTAATGTGGGTCGCGGGAATTGGTCGTTGTACCACAATGGGTTCATTTCGCATGATTAGGAAATGTTTTGCTTATTTGTGATTGTGTGATAGCATGTTTATGTGACTATGTGGGTATGGGATTGGACTTTGGGGATGTTGTTTGGGCCTATTAGGTTCCTTGAGGTCTTATTAGAAGGGTACCTGATCAATACTCATTCTACTAAGAATTCTTGGTTTCTCATGGAACAAATCTCATCACTAAAGGATAATTCGTATGTGTTTATGTGACTAAGTGCTTATGCGGAGTGAATTAAATTATTTGTGTGATAAGGTGTATGGAATTGCTATAGTTTAACGTGTGAGGCAAGTTGCGAGCACATTTGGGATGATGTGCTAAATTGTTTATTTTGATTCTCAATTAGGATGTCGGGAAGGATTCAAACACGAGGTGGTAGGGGTGGAAGGCAAGGTCGAGGTCGCTGGGTTGTACATGAGGTACCGGTCCACGAGGTCCCGGTACAAGAAGAGGGTATAGGCCAAGCTGACATGGCTGAACAAATGGGGCAAGCGGAGGTGCCGGGGCAAGCCGGTCAAGTCGCAATGGGGGCTCTAGCCCAGGAGATAACGGGGGCATTGAGGGAGTCCATGAACATACTTAGGATGGAGACTCAAGCCAGGGAGAATGTTGCGAAGACAAGGGCGAGCTTCCTCACAAGGGAGTTTTTGTGGGCCAAGCCAGATGAATTCCATGGCAGCCTCGAGCCAAAGAAAGCAGATGAATGGCTTGAACAAACCGTGAAGACTTTCGAGATGCTTCACATCGATGATAACAAGTTGAAGGTGACCCTTGCTAGTTATTATCTCAAGGGTGACGCAGGCCAATGGTGGAAGTATGACAATGGCCGTATAGAACCATCATGGGAGGCATTTGTGGTGGCCTTCCAAGACAAGTATTTACCTCGTACTACTAGGGAGAGGTTGAGGCAGGAATTCAAGGACCATAAGCAAATAAATATATCCGTGGCCGAATTTGAAGCGGTCTTTTCTAGTTTGTCCCGGTTTGCACCGGAATTGGTAGCGACGGAGGAGCGCCGTTGCTTTGAGTTCGAGCAGAGGCTGAGGACGAAGATTTTTTTCAAGGTTATCGGGAACATGATTCAGAATTATGATCACCTCGTGGAGGCAGCTGCACATGTGGAAATTATTGTGGAGACCAAAAATGAGAGACTTCAGAATTTGAGGTCTAGGGGCCAAGGGTCACAAGGGGACTTTAGGCCCAACAAGAAGAGTAGAAGCACCTTTTCATCCCAGTCTTAGCCCTAACAGTGTAGATCTACTTTCCCCTTGCCTAGTGTGGGCCCGAGAAAGAGTGCACCGACTGGGTTTTCTTGCTTCAAGTGTGGCCAACTGGGTCACAAGGTCTTTGCTCGTACACAGAATGGAGGAGGACAGGAGATGTTGCCACCACCACCACCTAACCGAACTTAGAGTCAGTCTCAGAGTAGGCGTCAGGGGCCTACTTACTACCAGTGCGGTCAGTCAGGAGATATGAAGAGAGCATGCCCGCAGTTGGAAGGCGCATCTGGGGCATCGGGGTCGAGGCAGACTCATAGCCACTAGCAGGCTCACTCAGCTCAGACTTCATGAGTTCATCAAGGAGTTGCTTCAACTTAGTCTGTACAGCAAGCTTGTGCTTCGAGGGACGAGTAGGTTGATCAGAGGCCACAGGGGCACGTGTACGCTATTACCGCGCTAGAGCAGTTGCCAGGATCCTCGGTAGTGAGAGGTATTTTTATTATGTGTAATTTTTTGGCCAGTGTGTTGATAAATATAGGTGCATCTCATTCTTTCATATCTGCTGCATTCGCATCTGCATTGGGGCTAGAGGTGACACTGTTAGCATCTCCACTCAGAGTAAAGTCTCCTATTGGGGGTATCATTGACTTAGATCGGGGTTTGTCATGATTGGGAGATAAAGGTTGTTGGGCGTAGACTCCTGTTTTCTTTTGTGTTGCTAGACATGTTGAGTTTTGACGTCATTCTAGGCATGGATTGGTTGTCTTTGTATCGGGCAGTGATTGATTGTTTTCGGCGGAGGGTCGCAGTGTGCACTTTGAGTGGTGATTGTTTTTACTTTCTAGGAGACCGGGTTGATAGGGTCTTGTCACTAGTATTCGATCCTTGTAGTAGGAACGAAGTTAGTGGCCTTCTTGCTACTCTTTTGGTTAGTGAGAGTGGCAGGACTCGAGTTGAGTTGCCAAAAGTGGTTTGTGAATACTCGGGCGTGTTTCCCAAGGACCTTACTAGTTTGCCACCGCACTGGGATATTGAGTTCACCATCGACTTAGTGGCTGGAACGATACCAATTTCTATGGCGCCATATAGATTTGCACCCGCGGAGTTGCACGAGTTGAAGATTCAACTCCAAGAGCTTCTAGACAAGGGCACATTCGCCCTAGTATGTCACCATGGGGAGCACCGGCTCTTTTTGCGATGAAGAAGGATGGGTCATTGTGGTTGTGTATCGACTACCGTAAAATGAATCGAGTTACAGTCAAGAACAAATACCCTTTACCCAGAATAGATGACTTGTTTGATCAACTTAGAGGGTCTTGTTGCTTTTCGAAGATAGATTTAAGGTCGGGGTACCATCAGTTGAGAGTCCAGGAGGAGGACATCCAGAAAACGGCCTTTCGCACGCGTGATGGCCACTATGAGTTCCTTGTAATGCCATTTGGGTTGACTAATGCACCGGCTTCTTTCATGGATTTGATGAACTGAATTTTTAGGGAATGTTTGGACCATTTTGTGGTCGTCTTCGTAGACGACATCCTAATCTATTCAACTTCCAAGGAAGAACACGAGGCTCATCTGAGGGCAGTGCTTGACTTATTTAGAAAACATCAATTGTATGCCAAATTTGAGAAGTGTGAGTTTTGGCTCACCGATGTGAAGTTTTTAGGATATGTGGTATCAAGAGAGGGTGTAACTATAGATTCTTCAAAGATAGACTTTGTACAAGATTAGGAGCAACCTAAGAATGTCTTTGAGATCTAGAGTTTCTTGGGGTTGGCAAGGTATTACCGGAGTTTTGTAAGGGATTTCTCTAGACTAGCTGCACCTTTGACTAGGTTGACTAGAAAGGGGGTTAAGTTTGTATGGAGTGAGGCTTGTGAAAGGTCTTTCTAAGAACTCAAAACTAGGTTGACTACGGCACCGGTGTTGATCATTCCAGAGAGAGGCTTGGGTTACACCGTCTACTTTGATGCGTCTCGGGATGGGCTTGGGTGTGTTTTGATGCAAGAGGGAAAGGTTGTAGCATATGGTTCACGGCAATGGAAAACCGATGAGAAGAATTATCCTACCCACGACTTAGAGTTAGCCGCAGTAGTGTTTGCCTTGAAAATTTGGAGGCATTACTTGTATGGTGAGAAGTTTGAGGTTTTCTCTAACCATAAGAGCTTGAAGTATCTTTTTTCCCAAAAAGATTTGAATCTACGTCAACGGAGGTGGATGGAGTTTTTAAAAGACTACGATTTTGAGTTACACTATCACCTGGGGAAAGCCAATGTAGTAGCCGATGCCTTAAGCCAAAAAACCGTGAGTAGCTTGGCGAGTGTGGCCATTAGGGAATGGGTTATGTTGGGTGAAGTCAGCAAGTTTGAGTTGCAGTTGGGTGAGTCCGAAGAGGGTGCAACATTGCTTACATTTAGTGCTCAACCCACCTTAATTAGCAAAGTTATAGAGGCACAATAAGGAGACCGTGAAGTAGAGCTAATTCGTGATAGGATCTCCATTGGAAAGGAAGAGAAGGGTTTGAACATTCACTCGAATCAAAGCGTACGTTATCTAGATCGTCTGCTTGTACCTGAATCTTGTAGAGAAGAAGTGCTTCGGGAGTTCCATCACTCGCGCCTTGCGGTACATTCGGGAGGCACCAAAATGTATCAAGACCGTAGCCATTAGTTCTGGTGGAGGGCCATGAAGTGGGATGTCGCATTCTTCATGTTGAAGTGCCTTACTTGTCAGCAAGTGAAGGCTGAGCATCAAAGGCCAGCGAGTTGTTACAACCCTTACCTATAGTCGAGTGGAAGTGGGAGCACGTTACCATGGATCTCGTTGTTGAGCTTCATAGAATGAAGCGGGGCAACAATGCCATTTGGGTACTTGTTGATAGGCTGACTAAGTCCACACACTTCATTCCAATGCATACTAGCGACTCAGTTGAGCACTTGGCGGAGTTGTACATTAAGGAGATAGTTCGGCTCCATGGGGTTTCAGTAACCATTGTGTCAGATAGAGATCCTCGTTTTACCGCCCAGTTGTGGCAAAGCCTTCAAGAGGCATTGGAAACTAAGTTGACCTTTAGCATCGCTTATCGCCCTCAAACCGATGGCCAGTCAGAACGTACCATTTAGACTTTGGAGGACATGTTCAGAGCTTGTGTCCTAGATTTCAAGGGGTCTTAGGAGAGGCACTTACTATTGATTGAATTTGCCTACAACAATAGTTATCAAGCAAGTATCGAGATGGCACCATTTGAGGCCTTGTATGGCCGACCTTATATATCGCCAGTTTGTTGGGCAGAGGTGGGGGATGCATCGTTGTTGGGTCCGGAGATTGTTAGGGAGACAATCGAGAAGGTTGCCCTCATTCGCAAGAGATTAGCTACGACTCAAATCCGATAGAAAACGTTATGCCGATAGGAGAACACAACCTTTATCCTTCGAAATGAGTGATCATGTGTTTCTTAAGATCTCACCTAGACGGGGTCTAATGAGGTTTGGCAAGAGTGGAAAGTTGTCACCGAGATTTATTTGGCCTTTTGAGATATTGGAGAGGATCGGGGAAGTAGCATACCGGTTAGCTTTACCACCACAACTTTCGGGAGTACATAATGTGTTCCATGTGTCAATGCTTAGGAAATACAAGCCCAACCCTTCTCATGTGCTAGATTGGGCTGATTTGGAGGTAGATGAGGATGCCTCCTACGAAGAGCGGCCAGTTCAAATCCTAGCTACCCGAGAGCAAGTGTTATAGGGTAAGACAATACTGTTAGTGAAGGTGTTCTGGACACACCATGGGATTGAGGAAGGAACTTGGGAACGGGAGGCGGAGGTCCGCTCCAAGTATTCGGATTTATTTGAGCATGTGTAGTTGTTTTGTTTTAATTGTAAAGCTTTCCTAGTATTGAAGAAGAGAATGTTGAATTGTTGGTCACATGTTGTTGTATGTGTGATGTTAAATTGAGCATGAGGTTATGGAAGAATGATATTTTGTTGTTGATGTTTTATCTCATTTATCACATCTGAGCAATTGTTGTTTTGATGGAGTGACCATGAAGAAAAAGATAAACGTTGCAACTTGATAATGTTGTTAAAAATGATTATAGTTGTTAGAGAACTCTTGTTTGGTGAGTTTATTTATTTTTCAGGGAGTTTGTTCAAATTTCGGGGATGAAATTTCCTATGGTGGAGAGGTTGTGATGACCCAGTATGTCTCTAGTTTCGTTCTCTCTCTCGTTTAATCTTGAACCCACTTTGATGGAGTGTCGGGTTATTTTGGAGCCCTGTTGAGTGTTTGGGGTTTGTATTGTCCAGAGGGTTCTTCTCAATGCAATCCCTTTTCTTGTTTTGATTCGGTGTTGAAGTCCTGTTATTTCGGAGGGTGCGAGGTCCGGTCCTGAGCCCCCGAGGATTGAGTCAGAAAATTCTGGGTTGCTGGGCCAGGGCCGCACGTGCGGTGAAAGTTAGGCTTCAGAAGGTCGCACACTGCCTAAAAGGCACGTGCGAAGTGAGGTGTGAGAAGGGAGCACCACACGTGTGGGGGTGAAGACCGCACGTACGGGAGAGGCGCTCCGCACGTGCGGGGAGGGGCGCCACAGGTGCGGCCAACTGGGCAGCCCGAACTCTGTTTTTTCCTCTCTTTTTGGTCCAAATGTATACCTCATTTTGCACATTCCCCTCTTACTCTAAACCTTATTTTTCTCCCCCTTCTCTCTAGAAAACTTCCTCAAACATTAAAAATCTTTGATCCTTGTAATTTTGGGTCAAGATCACCGACATCTTCCCCTAAATCTTGAAGATCAAGCTAGGGCTCCTCTTTGTGTAGTGAGGGTTGAACAATCCTCCATTGAAGATAGGGTTTCATTTTGTCCATCATCAAGACCTTGAGGTAGGGAATTCTTGAGTCATATATATATGTTTTGCTTCATAAATGTTGATTTTAAAGCTTTCATAAGGTTGTTGTGTTGATTTTAATTTTGCACTAAATGAAGGGAGAGAGTGAATGGGAGTTTTGAAAGAGGGGTCGAAATCACAACTTTCTTTTTATCCATGAGGATGGTTTTTCTATAAAAACTCAAGATGGATGATTTTGGTAGGATTCATTAAGAAAAAGGGAAAAAGTTTTGTCTTGGATGAAGAAGTCTAGAATTTGGGGGTTTTGGGGAAAACATGAACTTATACATGAACTTCTTTTATTCTTGCATCAAGAGAATGAATAAGAGTAAATTTTATCAAATGTTTAGCAAAATTGCATCCCACTTGATCTATGAGAAATAAGATGTCATTTTAGCATTTTTTCAAAATGTGTGAATATGGATTGTTATAATATGGCAAAATTGTTGTGCACTATGGATTGTGAGAAATATGAATATTGGAGATTAATGTTTGAAAAACATCACATGTGGCCTTGAAAGGATTAAATAGATGAGAAACTGTTGTCGTGTGTTGAAGACACATGCTTATTTTGCGAAATAACGTTGAAGGGAGGAAATGAGAAATGTATTTATTCGTTATTGTTGTTGAGTCAGTTGGAAACGGAGAAAGGCCATGAGGCATGGGAGTTCATTACCTTGCATACTCATTCAATTAACTATTGTGCATTGTGAAATTTGAATGGAAACATTTACTTCAAAAAAGAACATATTTATCGAAATGAGAACTATGGTAATGTGAATGGGGTAAATACGTGGTAAGTCCGGATAGGGGTTGTAGTTGAATTTGATAAGTTGGCCTGAGTGTCCATAGTGAAAGATCAGAAACCCGCGCGGATAGGTGTCGAGCCTTCCGGTTAATACTGGTAAAAATGACAATTGGGTAGTACTTGTAGAGTCTACTTACAGACACCAGCCTAGGGATTACCAGTGTCGTATTTACCGCCCCTATTGATTAAAATTTGAAGTTTTGAAATGTGTCGTGATTGTAAGTGTCACGACCCGAACCCGCCCCCATGGGTCAAGGACATAACCGGCTAGTAATCATGAGATTACCTACGGCCTCAAACCAAACCAGATGTACTTTAACAGAGTTAACGGGGGCCAAACAGAAGCAATTTTAAAACTTTGTCCATAGAACCGTGCTTATATGCAGATCATAACATTCCATACATACATATGTTAATAACTCACAATAGAAAGTATAGTAACATAAAGTTCTATACGGACAGGATCATTCAAATCTAAGTCAGCCCAAAACAAAGCTATTTACAGGCGTA